TAGGCAAACTGCCAGATGCAGACAGAGCACAACATGGCAAAGGCTGCTGTTCTCAGTCTAGCCCCAGATAGGAAACAATAGCAAAAGGGAACACAGCAAGGATTATTGTTCTGGTAGCTTTTTTTTTTTAATAAGAGAAAGCTGTTTTTATGCTCTACTGAAATTCCCTTCCTGCTCTGAAATTGGTAAGAGGCCCAGCTGCTTTCTTATATTATTCTCTGTGGTGTTTTTCTACAGCAGATTTCCAATTTATTCTTCAGATTGGGAAAAGCCTCTTTTTGTATCCCACAGAAGTTTAAAGATACATTTTCATGTTCAGACTCAAAACAGTTGGGGCGCCCAAGTGAGATAGGTCAGTTTTAGGTATGCTGTGAATAGAGCTAAATTTCAGCCACTTACTCAACATTCAACAAAGATCTGAGTTCCTGGTATGTACTAGGCTAGGGACTTAGGAAGCTACAAACACAAATAGTAGCCCTACTCTCAAGAAGATTTTTTTGGGGGGAGAAAAGGGAGAGCACAGACATTGAGGAGGAAAACTGTTTATACTATAGTGTGATGAGGGATGTCACCAATCTCATTCTTAATTCCCTTCTCTCAAGTTTTCAAATGGAAATAGTTGAATTGTAAACTAAACCCCAATTCCAAGATTTTATTCTCTTAAGGAAATGAGGTGGAAAATTCACTGGTAGAAAGTACTTCAAAATATCTCCTAAGTAAGCTCTCTACAGCCTAAATAAAGATAAGGGTTGAACAATTACCTGGTGATCTGAGAGAATGTACATGGTCCAGTCATTAAAGAATAGGTCTATCTTAATTTCTTGCCCACCCAGCCCCAAATCATGCAGAAACTGCTCAACTCTGACCTTTGTTTTGACAAAATAGTTTCTAACATCTAACCCGAAGGACCACCAAGCTTTGCTATCCAGACACCATGCAGCTGAACCCTACAGACCACAAGGCCTACCATCTACAGCCCTCTGCCCCTGATTCCATTGTATATGCTCTCTCCTTCTATGAGGATAGGGGCTCATATAAAGCCAAGATAGTCTTACATTTCTAAGTGTTATCTTTAGAGCTTAGCACAGTGCTCTGCATATGAAATACAATAAATTTCTTTTTTTTTCATTCATTCATCAAAATAGTTCCTTAAAAACTAAAAGTCTGAGCAAGGCAATAAAGCAGAAGCATAGGGACTCAACCTTCTGCAGGTTATATTCACTGTTTTTTAATCAAAGAGAAAATGATGGGAACTTGAGTTTTTTAAAATGCCAATGACCTGAAAATCCTAAATCTGAATCAGTTTACAAATCACTGGACAAAACAATTTGTTTCTGAATATTCAGACACACGATAATCACACCAAAAGTGAAATGTATTCAAATATTAAAACCTGAAGGAAGAAGGTCAGAAAGGGAGGAATTCCTTTTTTTTTTTTTAAAGAAGGATTTAATCTAAAAGAACAATAAAAATCCTGGAAGCACAATGCACTGTAGTGAAATTCAGACCAACAAAACTACTGGAAACAAAATTACACTTAAAAAATCATAAAGTCTTGAACCCAAGAATAGGGAATCATATTCATGGATATGAATATAGCAAGAAATGAGAATGTGTGAATTGCACAGAAAGAATAGTTTAAAAAAATTGAAAATGGGCACAAATTGGAAAAGCAGAATCTTTTAGAATCAGAACTGATACTGACAAGCAAAGAATGGATAAATTATTTAAGGGCTAATCAGAGGGGGCACAGTAGCTTCATCTCCATCCCCAAACCATTGACAGATAATCAGTAAAAAAGACAACTTTTCTGGGAGCTGATTTATATTTTAGGCTGAAGCACGAAATCAATGCAACTAGCCCTCTTTGTGAAGAATTGAGTGATATTGAAGCGAATATAACTGATGCAACCCTTCATGGTGACCAGATGCAATAAAATGTAGTTGAAGAGGTTTAATGCCAGTTTCTAAGCCACTGATTTCCTGAATGTACAATTTCTCCGTGTGAGAAATGTGACCAATAATTACAATTCTAAAAGGTGGAGTGAATGCTTTCCAAATTGGGTCATGTGGTAATTCTGGTATGGACTGAAACGAAAAGAACTTTTCTAGGATTTACAACAGTTGAGAGTAGCCACTGAGCCATATTAGAACAAAGCAACATTGGTGGAGAGCTGCTCTGGAGAGATTTGTCTACATTGGCACAAAAATAAATGAAAATGAGGTCAGAAACGGTCATTGCCAAGGAAGGCATTTTATAACCTAGTAATTATGGGTCTCATAGTTCAAGCAACACTCAAGTCAATGGCTCTGTTTGATGTCCAAAGTTCTGTCTTTTCTGTAGTAGGAGTTTGTTTTTCAAGAGTAAACATAACAAAAACAATATATTAACAATGTTTAAAATGATTTTAAAAGAAAATGACATTTTTGATTACATAGATAATCCAAAGAACTGATCAATCAACAAGTATTTATTAAGCACCTACTACATGCCAGGTACTATGCAGGCTGCTGGAGATATGAAGACAAAACCTTTTAAATCTCTATCATTAAGGAGCTTATGCTATATAGACAGAGGCAACAAGAACACATGAAATTAATACTAAAACAATTACAAAATAAATAGAAGGTCATTTTGGAGGGGAGGCACTAATTTGTTATTGTTTAGTCGTTTTCCATCATGTCTGACTCTTCATGGCCCCTTTTGGGGTTTTCTTGGCAAAGGTACTGGAATGGTTTGCCATTTCCTCCTCCAGCTCATTTAAAAGAAGAGGAAGGTGAGGCAAACAGGGTTGAGTTACTTGCCCAGGGTTGCATACCTAATAAGTGTCTGAGGCCAGATTGGAACCACCTAGCTGCCCAGGGAAACACTAATACCTACAGAGAAAATCCTTAGGTAGATGGTGACACTTGAGCTAAGCCTGGAAGGAAACCAAGGATTCCAAGGGAGTAGTGGGGAGAGTGGATGCCATGCCTGGAGGGGAGCCTGTGCAAAGGCTTGGAGATAGCAGAAAAGATTGTCATGTGTGAGGAATAAGAAGAAGGCCAGGGTGACTGCACAGCAGAGAGCAGGAAGGAGATACAATGGGTAATACGCCTGGAAAGGTGGGCTGGAGTCAAGTCTTTAAAGACATCTTTAATGAAGCATATCCTCAAAGTCGTTAAGATATAAAGGAATGAAACAGTCATTATATTATATCCTCAATAACAGGATTAATTATAATTCTTATAATTACATGCATTACATATGATTAAATGTATAAGCTATAACAATATAAACAATTACATAGGGTTTTAAGGTTTAATCATATGCATTACATATGATTAAATGTATAAGCTATAACAATATAAACATGTATAGAGGGTTTTTAAGGTTTTAAGGGGTGTTTTCTCAACAATTTTATGAAATAGGCAGTATAAGTCTTATTATCCCTATTATACAAACAAATAAATTGAGACTCGGAGATGAGGAACTTGCTCATGGTACCTAGCTACTAAATGACAGAGCCTAGATTGGAACCCAAGTCTTCTGACACCAAGTCCTGTGGTTCTTTCTACTATAAAGTCTTCACTGATAAATGATGCCAAACTCTACATCTTAATTTTCTAAAACACGTTTAAAGAAAGTCCAAGCCATCAACTGGAGAACCAAAGGCACTAATGATGTTTTTGTCATTCAGAAATATTGAGTGAATCATCTCTTAAACAATGCCTTCTGAGCTCAATATTTATTGTCAGCCTGACACAGTTCAGCAAGCCAGAGGTGCTTAACTAATAAAAACTGCAAAAACTAGTTAAAATAAATCTACCATAGGTGAAAATTATATTACAATATTAACAGTTTCAGACTGATTTCCAAGATTCTGAATCAGTAATGTGAATTTCTTTTAATAAAGCTATGGTTTAATTTTTTTCCGGGAAATATTTTTAATAGGATTACTGACCCTTTTAACAGTCTTGGAAAGAAAATGAATCCCATGAGCATCCTGGCGTATAAGTATTATAACAATAAATAGAACAGTCACTCTTTTTGAATTGAAATGGTAATAGACTTGGGAAACTAAACTTACTAGAGAAATATGCAAACGTATGCAGGGTGCTAACCACTTTCACACAAAACTGATTCTACTGCATATCAGTGAAGCAACAGAACCCAGTAAGACAAATGAAGGGCTTGTGAAAATGAAAGAATGAGGTCTTTTGGAGCAACATCCTCCTCACGCAGATGGAATGTGAATCAGCCACCTTCAACAGGGGTCAATTATGTTGCCCACTACCCAACCATTGGGTCCTACTTAACCGTACCAGTTTAGATCTTCAGAAATTTTTTAAATGTTTCAGAAAAGAAAATGAGAGTTTACTAGTTTAAGACATGTTTTTGCACTTAAAACTCAGAAATACTTTGTCTCTTAAGTGGATTTTTTTTTTCAGGTCATTAGTTTATAATGTGAACTAGTGCCTTGGGATATACTGAAAGGAGAAAAAAAACAAGCTAGTGTGCTTGGAAATGCAGTTTATGTGACTAGCAAAATCATTTATTTCTGCTCAATTTTTGCAACAATTTACGGCAAGAATAAAATCAATGTGGATATAGTGATAGATGCCTCTTTCTAGGTATGCCATACATACACACATACATACGTATGTGTGACATCAGAAATGTTCCCTAATCCATGGAGTCAAGGGAGTCAGAGAGCTTCTTCTCTAACCTCTCTTTGCCTGCCCCAAGAAATCAAAATATTCATACTGTATCATCACAAAGGAAAATTTAACATATGCTTTTCAATGATAATAACCCTCTATTGGGTCTTTTAAACTTTTAGGTTTCTTAGCAGCCAGAGAGTTTGCTGGTTCCATGGCAATGGCTGATACAAGGTGAACTGGGTAAATGAATGTTGATAAAATACTCAGAAAGCCTCTACAAAGAGACAACGAAGACAGACCAAGAACTAGATTTTCATCATTGTGTTAAAATACAAAAGTAGCACACTTCATTTTTACCTTTTAAAAGATGAGTGAAAGTGTTCAAAAATTCTTCATACGTCTGCTCATGGCGATTAATAAACTGATCCAAGGCTTGCTCAATTAACCGATCTTCATCCATGATCCCCAATTCCAACAACTGAACAAACACATCTATTTGAACAGCCCCTTCATCTGTGATATAAAGATAAAAGAAACATATGAGCTCCGAGACCAAGACACGTAATCACAGCCCTTCTGAAAACTGCCTGAGTAAGGTACATGAAGAATCGCAGACATAAGAAGCCAAAGAACAAATAGAAACAGTTGAGACAGCACGGAACCTAGAAATCAAGAAATGCTACATCTCTGAGACTTCCTTGATAATTACTATAGACAAGTCATTTGACTTTTCTGTCTTCAATCTTTCCATCGAATGTCTTCCTGATTCACAAGAAGTTTATGAAACTATTCTAAACACTCTAAAAAGAAATTTGTAAAATCACCATTATGAAGCTTTAGGATATGATAAGTGTAAAAAGTTTAGGTACAATATAATCTCTGCCCAAGACACCTATGCAATAGGAGGGGGAGAAGACAACACTATCAGAAGGCAAAATGTTTCATGGCTCTGTGGAAAGTGGACTTGGGGAGTTTGTGGACTGTTGGGGACCTAGTATTTAAACATACACTACTGAGAGAAAGTAGGAATCACCATCTCTACCATATGCTTTTCCCACCTCTTTGGTATGATGGGCCCTCTATTTTTATACCTCACTATAGTCTCTGTGATTTGATGAATATTAAGATTTTTTATTGCAAAGAAATAAAATTAGAAGTCTAATCCTAAATTTTCCTTCCATAACCAAAAAGTAAACAAAGCTGTTAGGTCTGTGTGGTCCTAGGACTTTAGGATTTATAAAATAACCTAAAAAGAAATCAAGGCATTACTCTAAGTCTTAAACACAAATAGTTAACAAAGTGATGGTATTATTCAGTAAGGAACTGAGTTTCAACTAATATGTATGGCCTAGTATTGAACTGTTGTCATTATTATTTGTTAACATTTGTTAACATTTGTTAACATTTGTTAACATTTGTT